ACCAAACAACTCTGTGAAACATGAAATTGATTTCATTTTAACTAATACAGTAGCGGACAAAAGTCTCCACCCACCTATAACTTTATCAGATGCTTTAATGAACTGGCAATTGTTTCACTGCTAAGAAGCTCACATTAAGCCCTGATCATGAGCACCATTTAAAATTCAACTGACTTTCAACAGCGTGAGAAAATCAAATTATTCATATTATCGAATTTCATGAATGTATAGAGCCACTATTTTCTTTTCGTCTTCTCAAGATCAGAACGTCAGCATCGATCGCTGGATTTTCTTCGCGGTTGCCTTCCTAGAGAGAAGAAACGATTCTATAAATTTCGATATATGATTCAAAAAGTAAGCTGTTCAGATAGGCCTACGGTAATCTATAATCGGTGACCTATAGCATGAGCAATATTTGCGCATCGCATATTTCAAATGACTGCAGGGCTTATCCGGACATTTAAATTTTTGAATCATGTACAAAAAGATGTAGAAGTGTCTCTGCTTCTCACTAACATGACCGTACGGAAAATCCAGCGATGGACGGCGACACTGCTCTTAAAAAGACAAAAAGTCAAGCATCACATTTTTAGAAAATAGGCACCATGTATCATCAATAATTGGAATTCTTACTCTATTGAGAGTCAGGTTAATTTCAGGCTGTGTTGCTGATCAGGGTAGGGTGTATACATCTATGCAATGAAACAATTGCCAATTTATAAGAGCATTTGACAAAGTTATAAAAGGAGGGGAAATATTTTCTCCAGCATTTTCTGCATTTTCTGAATAATCGGATTTCTCGAGCTAGTGGAAGTCTGTCGAATATTAAATGGTGCTCGTGATCAGGGCTTAATGTGAGCTTCTTAGCAGTGAAACAATTGCCAGTTCATCAAAGCATCTGATAAAGTTATAGGTGGGTGGAGACTTTTGTCCGCTACTGTAAAAGAATATCACAAGGATGGAGGCAATTCGGTAAATTAAACAAAATATTCAAAGCAGACATTCCACTATCCCTAAAAAAGAAAACATTTGATCAATGTGTACTCCCAGCAATGACCTACGGGTCAGAAACGTGGAGCACAACACTAAAATTAGAAAAAAAGCTCGCAATTGCCCAAAGAGCAATGGAAAGAAATATGCTAGAAATAAAAAGAATAGATAAAATCAAAAACGATCAGATAAGAAAACAAACAAAGCTGATCGATATAACAAAAACAATAAAAAGAAACAAATGGAGATGGGCAGATCATGTTGCTAGACAAAATGACAATAGATGGACCAAGCTTGCCACAGAATGGCAAGTAATAGACGGGAAAAGAAAACCCGGAAGACAAACAACCAGATGGAGAGATGAAATTCTTTCCTTCTTAGGGAACGGCTGGAGCACTCAGGCTCAAAATAGAGATGAGTGGAAAACATGGGAGAGACCTTCGTCCAGCAGTGGACGGTACATGGTTGATAAATGATGATGATGATGATGAATTCATTGATATTTATATTCTGAAAGAAAAATACGACTTTATGGATCCATACGATATCAAAAACATCTTAAAAGATCTGTACGGGGAGGAGAGGTGTTTGCTTTCTTTTCGAAAAATGTTGTCCTGTTGATTCATATCAGATTCTACAGCTGCTGAGTTAATAAAAGGACTAAGTAGTATTTTTTTTTTCAATGCTTTTAGAATTTAGACAGTTAATTGAAGAGACGAAGATAAAAAAGAAATAGAAAAAGTCATTTCATCAAAGTTTCTAGTACTTTTTAAAAATTTAAAGCCTGATCGAACATTATGTTTCGGAAAAATAGGAGCGATAGAAGGGAAGAGTTGAGTTATTTTTAGCCCTTATGACCTCTATAACTTCTACAATGAAGCATGATGGAGAACTGAGTCTAATGCAACTTTTGTTCTGCTACTAAAGATTCCTCCTCTGTGACGTTTCAAAATCTTTTATTTAGTCGTTCTCGTTTCTACAGAATCAAAAACTGGCTTTTAGAGAACCAATAATTCCTTCCTTATATCTAGCATTGACAAAAAAAATTTCATTTCTACCATCTATTATGATCGAAACAAAAAGACTTATTTACATTTCAAATTGTGTACACAGTATACAAAACATCCACTCTGTAAGTGAGTAATCGAGAAGTAGAGGAAAAGGGGAGTTTCATCAATATTTCATAACAGAATTTAGATCATGATCATCGTAATGATAATCCACGGTGCTATTCATCTAAACATCGTTTTAATTTCTTGAAACTGACGAGTTGAAGACTAACGAGGGAACATATCTCATTAGAATGAAAATGCTGAATTGACAAAATCATCCAATACATATTTCCGTTCTAACACTTCCATCGTTGGATGAAATCACAAACTTTTTTTACTAATATAAACAGCAAAAGATCTTCAACATAACGTCATATCCCAAATGAAGGCAGCTAAAATATTGATATTCGTCATCATTCTGATGAAGCGATTGAACTGAAATTTGTTGTTTTTTTTTTTACAGATAAGGGTTAATCTAACTTAGGAATCATCAGAATATTCAGAAAAACTGATCTCGCGAAAAATCTTAGTAGTCCCACAGTTTTCGCTCGATTTTGGTCCAAGTAGTCTCATTTAATATAGAGATGAAAAATGAAGAGATTTTCGGTACACATTTTCCATTTGGTCCTCGAGCCAAGATTTTTAGAAAAAAACAATACGAGAAAACCAAAGTGAAGCAGAACAATTGAAATGTGAGCTTAAGAGCAAAGTTTTAAAAAAGTTGTCAAGATCTGCTCCTTTCACGCTTTTTTTAATAATCTAATGAAATAATTTTGAGATAAAGAAATGATGAACCATCTTGTGGTGTGATTGGGACTTCGAGTAAATGGCCCAGACCTCAGTTCAGAACCATTGCTATGCAGTAAATGACATCTCATTTGAAAGAGAAGAATTTAGTCTATACGATTTTTTGGAGATTCAACGAAGATTGGATTCATTTCAAGCGATAATAGATAAAATGTTTCCAGTGCTTTTTTTTGTGAAATTTTTGGAATCTTCCAAAGATCGAAACAGTTGAACTTTGGTATGTTGTGAGCAGATTCTGAATGATCAACCGATCTAAGAAGAGCTGAATCATAGCAAAAATGTTGCTATGCACATTTTACATGTCATGTTATAATTAATGATTGTTCACATATATCAATACACGTTCTGACACTACGAGAATCTCAAATCATTTGTTATGCGATATCAGTAGTAATCGGATGAAGATAGATGTGTTGCGATCGAGTTGATTATTTTTTTAGAGTATGCAATAATCGCAATGATTTAGAAGACATGGAATATAAACAATGCATTATTTTGCCGAAATTCGTTTCCTACCTGTACCAGCGACTGTTCCACCAGAATAATGCGCCAGAAGGCCAAAATTGTATACGACAATTGTAAATATTGGCGACATAGATGCTACCACTTGAATCGACAGCCGCATCTCAGGGATAAAACAAGCAAGACGGCATGATGCTACTTATTCCGTTTGCTTGTCCAGTCACCGCTGTACCGTTTGAAGCGCCTATCAACTATCTCTATGTTCTGTTGTTATTGCTATCAGCAATGTAAAGTCTATTTGATGAATCCAATGCTAGACCCACAGATATATTTAATCGATCGAATTCTACTCCAGGGAGAGAAGTAATTCCGCCCACTGTGATGCCTGTGGGATCCCAGCAGATGGACACGGTGGAACCTATAAAATTAAAGAAATCGTATTTCAATACAAAGTTGAATAGTATCTTCTTTTCATCGATCGTCAGTATGTACATTGTCATTTTCAAAAGTGTACATCGTTTCCTAGCTGCTATTTAGATACTCAACAGGATATTGTCTCTTTGATATAACTGTTTTGCGAAAACTCACTATTATATCTTGCACCTGAATGATATTGTATTCTGTTTCTACATTTTCTCGTTTCGCCTTTGAAATAACAATGGATTTTGAGGATTTCCTTTGTCGCTTAACTCAAATTTTACTAAAAACAACAGTTGAAAACCGAACAAGTTCGTTCGTCCACAGCTGAATATGATTGTTCTTTATATAACTTATACAGATATGATTTGTCTCGCAAACATACTGTGAAACAAATAGTGTGTTTATGTGGAAGGACAGTATTCAGGTATTTTCTTAAATTTTAATTTAATCACCATTTTTTTAATTTCATGAGTGCTACTACTACATAAAAATATTTACGGCCAATCATTTTAAATAAAGAAGAATTGGTCCACTCATGAGCATTAACAGACATACAACAGTGCTAGAAGTTCTAATCTTGGAGCACATACTGACTTTGCGCTGATTTCAGGCTAGTCTATTGTATAGACACAGAGATCAAGCTACGGAATAGCCCGAGATGATTCGTCATCGTTAGAGAAATACTCGAGCTACAATGCGTCATTGGTCGCGAAATTATTGTACTCTAGTAAAATTAAGTCTAATGAAGATTAGTTTTCTTATCATAAATATTAAAAAAGTGACGTTTAAGCTAATCATTGTAATAATTAGTGAAGGATCAAACGAATGGTCATTGGAGAAAACATATAGGTACCAATCACGACAAAAGAATGCACGCAAAGTGTTCACTAATGTTTCTTATGCAAACTAAATGGTTCTAGATAACGACAAAATTTTCAACTTACTTCTTGTCAATGTCGATGTGACTGAAGATGTGGTTACTGATGTTGTAGAAATCAAAGAACTCGCCGATGATGTAGTGGTGCCTGTTTAATAAAGATAAAGTAGGTTGTGGATGTGAGTTTGAATGTGTCTTGGTGTGTGATTTTAGCTGTGGGTGTGAATGCTAGTGTGAGTGTACATCTTCTATTGACGCCCACCCACACCCACATCCCACACCCACACCCACACCCACACCTCACACCTCACACCCACACTCTATTTTCCATAATTCATTAAAACAAACAGTTCTATCTTGACATCAATCGATTCGAATCCATAAAGAAGAATTTAGATCAAATAAATAGTTCAAACTCAGCCAATTCTTAATTGACGAATCGAATTGATTCACATTAAATAATAGAAAAAAATTTTCTCCTTCATTTTTTCAACAAGTTCATTCTACTTGTCGGTTCGAAAATAAAATAAACAACTCAAAAAGAATTACGAAGAGGCTAACGATAGAGTTTGTTGATAAAACTTTTTGTAATATAGTAAAAAAAAGAAAGGCAGCTTTTTCTTTTTCTATAAGAAACTTATTATTGCACTCGGAACATGTTCCGCGACACACAATGTTCCGCTGGAATTTAAGCAAGAGAACGTCAACATCAACTCGAGTAACCATTCTATGTCATCCTCTTGCTTTTCTTTTAACATTAGCAACAATATTTAATCTTGAGCGTCAACAAAAAAACATGTGCATCAAGAAATAACAGAAAAAATTGTCGTCAAGTTGCTTGTTTGTTTAAGTGGAAGGATATTTTTGTTGAGTAGCATTGTTTCATTCATTCAGAATTAAATTCTCAAGACACACGATAAACTGGGAATATATAGTTCACCAAAATGGGCTGCAAAGCATCCACAGGTATAGTAAGTTCTACTAATTCTTCTATTGAAACTGAAGTAAGTTTACCAGCATTTCCTCATCGTTCTTAACATTCTTACGTCAATGAAGAAAAAATGAATAACGTGCACAAGCAAAAGAGCTTGTGCAAAATTATCTTCTGCTTTGGCTCGATGATAAAATTGACGAGTCAAATGAAGACTTTCTCAATTCGATAGCGAAACTTGGACAAACCGACGATACTATCGAGAAATTCTGTGACTCGACCGAATGTCTCACATATATTGCTGGCTTTAAAGACGAAAAAACATTTTTGTATTGTATCCGGCGCTCTCACCGAGCATGTCGTGTCACGTATATATAAAATCTCTGAAATTCATGGAATTTACGTGTTCTGTCGCCACCCATCAAAGTATGAACGATGGACACAGATGATGTCTTCTATCAGTTTCCGCAGAAACTGGAAAACTCAAACTGTGTACGGCATAGAGTATATGGGGTATAGATAGGTAGGTGTGTATATTAGATATAGAAGGTTATGGAGATATTGTATCAGCATCATGAATGAACATTTTGAGAAACGTAATCATATATTTTGATAGCCTGTGCTTCATGGTGCATTTTTTTAAAGAAAAATCAAGATTTTATCATTTTCTCAAGTCGACCTATGTACGAAATTTAAAATGTCGCAAAACTTTTGGTATACCCGGTATATATGACTATTCGTAAAATCGAATGAGACACTAGAAATTATATGTCTTTACGAAAAACCGAAGAATATACGGTGAACATCATAGATATTCAAAACTATATGACCTCTTTTAATTTTCTGATAAGTCATGAAATTCCGAAGTGATTCACGTTGATTTAGATAACGACGAATCTACCGATACAATGTACATCATTTGTACCTTACTCAACGGAGTTACAGTGGTGGAAAGTGCAACCCATAACTAAGAACCGGAGAATGTGAATGTGATCGAATGAAATACGATACTCATGTATACGCTCACACCAAACAGTGAAAAAAAGTATAGCTCTATTCAAAACTTTTTCTGCTTTTCGTAAACTCTTCACAAGAGACGTATGGCTGGAAAGATCTGGCTTTCATTTTAGTTCTTGCCAAAACGCCAGAAACAGCAACACCATCATATTCCGCGAAGAAACATATATTCTTTGCCTATGCAGAAGAAGATGAATCTGATGTACTAGAAGCTGACAAACTGAAGAATCATTTCATTCAGCGGCGATTTAGAGTTTACCAATCTAGAAAAAATGAAGACATCAATGTAAAAATTGCAAATGGTATTGAAAATGCTGCTGTGATTCTAGCTTTTCCATCCTCCTCTTTACAAATGTCAAAAACAGGATCCAAATTATTGAATTATGCTGATCAAACTAAAACTCCGATTCTAACTATTAATATCTGTGAAGATTTTCAACCTAAAGGCTGGTTAGGTGCTATTTTAGCTCCCACAAAGAGTTGCTCAACTAATTTTGATGAAGTTATTCAATCCTTAATTTCATTGGGAATCAAAACTAATCATCTTGTTCTTGAACGAAATGAAGAAAATGAACCACAGCCAATAGAAGAGTATCTATTTTATGGCGGAACTAAATTGGGGGATTTGAGCGCCAATTATCATTATTCTGGTCAAGAGTTTCTGATGGAATTTAAGGTATTTAGTAAATTGAATCGAAACATATATATTATTATCTAAGTTATATATTTTCATTAGTTTTTGGGTCTGAAAAGTGGTAAAGTATTTGGTGTAGGAGATGATGACGTTGGAGCTTTTACTCTTGCTGGTCACTACAAACTTGAAGATGGTTGTGGTGATATCGAGATGCATAAGCAATATGTTGGGAAACATTCCGTTAAATATGAAGGAAAGATGTCTTTCAAAGCAATAACTTGTGTAATAGAAGGACATTGGAAAATAGAAGAGATGAGTGACAGATTTTGCATGCATTTGACTCTTCCACGACCATACACAACAGAAAGGGAGAAGACACCACTACCGAAAGTTTCACCAAGACAAGGCAGTAAAGTTATGATTTCCTATTGTCCATGTCAATATGATTTAGCTCAAAAGATCACCGAAGGATTGATTGCTAAAGGTATTCCAGCTGTTTGCCCACCAATGCGAGTGCATGATATGATAAAAATAGCAGCTCAAGAAGCAAGAGTAGTCGTACCATTAATGAGTGATGCATATGAAGCATCTAATACTGCAAAGTATGTTCTGTCGTATGTCGATGAAGCTGGCATTCCAATAGTTCCTGTCAAGACGCAAGATCATTATGCTCAAAGTGGTTGGCTTGGCGTCATTTGCGCTGGTGCATTATGGATACGGATAACGAATACTAGTGACTTTGAAAAAAGACTTAAGGATCTTACAAAACAATTACATCCATATATTAGCGATTCTGTCGATGAAGAACAATTCGTCGATACTCTTGTTGATGAAACTCTTCCACAAGGTTATTATATTCAGTGGGGGCAAAAGTTTGATATGACGTTTAATATGTTTGCTTTGATAAATGGATGTATTGCTGGTGAAGGACATGATGAAATTGGCGGCTTCGTAATTAATGGGAAATATACTTGTTTACCAAATAAAAAAGACTTCGAATTTCAATTTAAAAAGCACTATATTGGACAACATGATGTTCAGTATTTTGGAACTATAACTAAACATGGATCGCAATTGTTTTTTGATGGAAGATGGCTTTTAGATGCCTTATCGGACAGCTTTCATCTAGAAGTCTCTTGTAATCAATCATCAAGGCCTAAAGGTCTTCATATTATGTTGAGTTATCAATGGAATAGTCAAGAGCTGGTTAAGCGAGTAGCAAATATGCTCAAACAAATGAATATTCCCATTTGGTTTGATGTTGCTGGCGACATGAAAGGAAATATCAATTCTGCTATGGCTAATGGTGTTGAAGGTGCTGCAGCTATTATCAGTTTCAGTACTGTTGCTTATAGTAATAGCATTAATTGTCAAAAAGAATTTACATATGCTCGTCAACTGAAGAAGTGTATTGTTCCTGTTCTTCTTGAGAATGAGAAGAATCTCCAGAACACATGGTTAGGAATGATAATAGCTTCCTTAAACAAAGTCAATATGCAAGATGAAAGTCAATTGCATCCCAGCTTCGATATTCTAGTGCAACATATTAATAGAGCTCTTGAAGAGACACAAGATGAAGATTCTCATCGGCCTCATGTCATTACACGGTTTGAAGGTAGTGCTGTGAGAGGAAAATATTATCAGTATGGTCAAGCTTTTGATATGGTCTTTGATTTCTTTAGCTTAAGAGAAGGAAGAGTTTCAGGCCAAGGAAATGATGATATTGGACCTTTTACAATGGCTGGAACGTATGATAATGAAGGAAAAGTTTGCTTTGTAAAGCAATATGTTGGAAAACATGCTGTTGAATACGAAGGAAATCTTCATTATGATAACTTGGGTGGATTCAAGATTCAAGGAAAATGGAACATTAACGTTCTCACAGATGATTTCTCTCTAGAAAGCATTAACCATTTAAACGGTGATACATTGACTGAAAACATTTAATTATTTGTAGTAATGCCTAACTAATTTTAACTCGTTGTCATCATTTTGTGGAACTCACATATGTTTTCGAAGAAAATAGTGAGTGTAAGTTTTAGCAACGAGTTTTTTGCGGCTCCTCTCCCCCGTCCCCCCCTCCTCCTCGTTGAAACATCACAAATTAACCAAAACAAACAACCTACTGACCATTACAGACAGCCTCTCTGACAATTACAGACAACCTACTGATCATTACAGACAATTCCCGCGCATCATTACAGACATTAGCAACTAAATGAAAAAAGGTTTCAACAAAAATTGGAACTTGACTTTCATTGATTTATAAAAGCTTTGAGTAACATCTACTCTGACACCATGCTTCATTTATTAGAACTGTTTCTTCTACAATAAGAAACTAGAGTTTACTTTGAAGAAAAAAGGGTGTGTGTGTATGTGTGTGGGTGTGGCTGTTGCTGTGGGCGTGGTGTGGGTGGGTGTGGGTGTGGGTGTGGGTGTGGGTGTGGGTGTGGGTGTGGGTGTGGGTGTGGGTGTGGGATGTGGACATAAGCTCTATGAACATTCGTATCTATACCTAAACCCATAGTCACACCCCACGCGAATACCCATACACATACTCCACCCACACCCACACCTTTTATATTACGACAGTTAATATAAATAGAACACTTATAATTTGCTTTTTGCGTTCAAGTGCTTCATTCAACATATGATTAAAAATCATTGCGCACATCGTATTTTTTTCTGCTATATAGAAACAGAAAGCTTTTTTACATTCGTTCTGTTCATTATATTAAAAGGCTTCTCGGCTTCATCAATCTGTCGTGTAATAGTTGTATCAATTTGGAGCAGCAGTAGATCGAAAAAAATAAAAGCCTGCACAGGTGGATTCTATCGTTTCTTTTTTATTTTAAACTGCGATTTGAAAACAATGGCGTCTTCTTTTTCAAAACAATGAGGGTTTAACAGGCTAAAAGAAGGCTTCTATTTTTAGTACTTGACAGAGATAGAAGGCCTGAAGAATTATTCACTCTTATCTATATATCAATAAATCTCTATGCATCCTTTTTCATAGTTGGAGCCTACGAGGTTTGGAGGTCGCCAGGATTTTTCCCCACTGTACTCTTTAACTTTCAAATGTCTCCTATGAAACGGCCGCTTATTGTACATTTGAGGCGCAGGGACTTCAATTTGAAAAAGGGTGTGGGTGTGGGTATGGATGTGGGCGCGAAAGTTAGAGTTCGTGTTCTCTTTAACAAGACCAACACCCAACCACACCCACATTCTGTTACATATATGATTCAGCTGGATTCTCTGTGGAATAGTTTCATTCCTTCGTTTCCAATTAGGGTTTGGTTCCGGGTGATTATATGATTCTTGGTTGAAAATATGTCGAAAAATATTACTAACAATGGAGGTGTGTGTGATGTAACTCAAGGAGATAGGACATATTCGGGTCAAATTAAAGGTCTCACTGTCAAACTAACAAATTTAAAATATGATGTGCTTATGGCTTGCCTGGATCGAGATATTCGAATTTCACGATGTGTGAAATTTAGGTATAAAAATGAATCAGGAAAGATTTTCTCCACTATTGTAAGGACAAAACATAGTGTCGTTCCGGCCAACTAGGGGATTTGGAGGGGTCCTCTTTCATATGGCTCGAGCAACACCATGTTTTGTCCTTATAATAGTAGAGTGCATTTTTTTGGTGGCTGATAGGAAACGCTGTTTTCTATGAGCTACAGA